GCAGGTAGGTATGTAGGTGGGTATGTATGTGTGTGTGTGTGTGCGTGTGGGGTAGCTTTCATCGTGGTCCCAGCTGAAGTATTTCCCAGCCGCTGCGTGATTTTGTGCTTGGTGCAGATCCCCGTCCTTGGCTATGCACATGCTTGCTTCGCAGGCAGCAGTACTGGCGACCCAAGTTCATGGTTCGCAATTGGACTGCACGAAGTTTCGCGTTCCGAAGTCTTTTCAAGACCAATCCAGTATTCTGTGCACATCTGTTTGAGGAGATGAGTGTCATGCCTGCTCATGTCGCCCGTTTGTCAACCAGCACAAGTAGGCCCCGCAGCTGAGGCAAATGGCGAGCCGATTACAACATGCGCGTGCGGCTGTCTTGATTGAAATTGAGCCAATGTTGCCACACCTAAGATGTTCGTGAAACGTTAATGTGCAGCTGTGCTAGTTGGCGCGGCGACGAAAGCTCCGAAAGCAGAAGGAGCTCGGAGCCCGGCCAAGCTATACCTGGAACTCTGGGGCCTTAGCACTTTGGAGCTTGGTCCCCGAGACCCGTGATGAGCTTTGCTCATACCGCGACCCAAGGAAAATCGGCTGTAGAACTCATTTGGCGGAATCCATGCCGTTGCACAACACCGTTTCAATAATCCAAGGAAAAGGAGACCAGCAGCAATCTTGACATACCCTGCACCGCATGTTGATGTCTCTTTTCAGGGCCTTCGAAGATGCGTGGAAGCAGTGGATGCGCACAGAGGGCCGGCGTTGGGGCCTCGGGTAGTGTATGAAGACGGGATGCTATGGGAAGGCCATGCGCTAAAGATATTCAAAAGTTCTGCACTTCTGTCTCCCTATCGGCTGCTTCTTGGCATTCCTCGCCTGTGGCTTTTCCATCACACCTGGGGCAATGACGTATCTGACCCATCCTCGAGCGACTCTTCTGGATATTGAATGCTCAATCTTGAGAATTCCACGGATTGTCTCCTTGCAGACGTCTTCACGCAATCTTCGTGTCTGCCCTCGTATATAGTCATAGTCATAGTCAGCAGGATCCTCAACGAGGTGAAAATGTGGATTTAATTCACCGCCAGTCCTGCAGGAATCCCAGCCACTTCATATGGGCTCTTGTGTAGTCTTATGTCTTGTCTGGCATTTCACCAAGCTGCGCATTCCCAGAGCCCAGCTCCCAAACGCGGAGTAGCTCACAAACCCCCACTCTGAAATCAGGTGAAGTACTGGCGACGATAGAAACGACACTACGCTGTAGCAACAGTCATGAGTAGGAGCATGCGTACAGGCAAAGTTGTGGTAACCGCAGGAATAGGCTGACTCACATCATTCGTGATAGTCGTCGCAATAGCATGACCGCTGTAGCAACAGCAGCAGTATCGCTGCAAACTATGTAAGCGGCACGCGATGCGCGACACCAAGGTATGGGACTCACGGAGCCCGTGCCCTTCAGCGGTCCCAAGCTCGTCCGAGTCTCGAGCAATAGCACTTGCAGTAATCATTATTGGCATTTTGCCTACTGTAGTAGTCGTCGTAGTCGTGGCAGCATAGTAGTATTGTCGTCAGCAGCTCAAAATCTCGTCATCATCATTGTCACCATCGCGGTCGTTGAATCGTCTCAGCATCTTTGTTTGCCATCCTGACCAGTATCACCATGAGCATCTTCACATCCCTTTCGTTCTGCAAGTTGTTACCCATCTTCATTCATGCCGTGGTGCACTCACACCTTTGCAACTGCTGCTACTGATGGAGCTGTGCACACTCACGGTTCATAGTCACAGTGTTTTGGGTTCTTCTTTGGATTGCAGTCGAGCGAGCCTTTTTTTTCAGGAAGAGCCTGAGCCGCCTGGGTTCTTCTGCTAAGAGCAACTTCTTGAAGAAGCGCTGTGTTCAGGGCCACATGATGACGGAAGAGCTGGACAAAGCTACTGTAGCGGAGGCGGGTTCCCAATGATCAATGGCTTGACCGAGCTTGCATTTCCCGACTCATGACTCAGAGAGTGCTGTGCTGCTGTATTTCCTTGTTTTTGTCAATGTCTGACAGCCACCGAGGCATTTGCTTGAATCGAATCGGCTTAAAGGAATTCGGCAGGTTCGTTTTGTTGAGTTTTGAATCCGGTTTGAGGATGTCCGCTCCGCACACGGCACCAACAACGCTGGCGACTTGAACCGCAAGCACGGCCGCGACGACGAGCACGGCTCGTATCACCAGCAACGGCAACAGCCACCGACGCCAACCACAACACCGACAACTTCGACTCGACCACTCTTGCTGCTATTTCCTGCGATTTGTTTGTTGTGTGTTCTTCCTGCATACTTTTGCTATGCTTCGGGCTAATTCGAATTCTTGTTGCAAGATTGGAGGAGGACCAGAATTGATAATCATGTACATCCTGATCAAGCTTGAATGTGGCGGCGGGATGGAGTGGTTGAGAGTGCAGGGCATCACACAAGATGCTGCAAGGGTTGGCAGTCTTGCAACTTCAAGTGTGGGCAAACCGCTTCTTTCAAGACGTCTCGTTGCTCTGCTTGAACGAGACGTCTTGCCCTCCGATCTGCTCGCAGCAGCAGGCAAAAGCATGTCGAGTCGCACAGAGGTTTTTTGTGGCAATTCTCGCAGTTCACTCAGATTTTTGGGGCGGTTACCTTCACCTGGCCCGAGGCTGAAATGAAGAAGCTGCCTTCCAAGCAGGCCATGAGAAACTTCGGGGGTTAAGGGTTAAGACTTCGAGAGCCTCGTGATGGAAGCCGCGTGAGTGTACCGTTGCCTGGACCTGCATGTTCCATGTCAGGAATTGTCTCGTAAAGCTGACCCGAGGCTTGCGACCAGCGGCTTGAAGCTGAGAGATGTGCTCCAGCTGCCAGGAGATGAAGATGAACAAGAAGTACCGAGTGAAGGGTTGGCACCAGATGCGGGGCACCCTACGATGTCTTTGCATGCTCCAGCACTTGCAGGTCCAGGGGTAAGCTTACGTCTTGCGAACTTGTCTGAATATTTCAAACCGACGTCTTTGCATTGGAGAAACATGTCAAGGCTCCGGTCGAAGGTGCCGGACATGCTTGCTTTCCTCTCAAAACTCTGCCGCCCAGGGTTCCTGAAGACATGCTGCCTGGACAGTGGAACGATGATGGCGAAGACAGCGTGCACAAGTCTTTCCGGCACACTTTACTCCAAGCGGGCTGCTTCCATGACTGGCTGTAAGAAGTCTTACAATGTAGCAACGGTTGTTGTGGTCACGGTTGCAGGTGTCTCCTGGTATGCTTGCCCAAAGCCTCGCAGCATGTGCCCGCCCACACAGTTTGCAACCTGCCACAGCCAGGCTGTTCAAGCGACCTTTGCACAAGGTGCGGGCATGTCAAGCACTTGTGCCGGAGGTCGAAGAAGGTTTGATTTGGAAGAGGCCTTTTTAGAAAAGCTGCTGTGCCAGTGATGTAGCCTGATTGTTGCCTCCTTTTGAATCGGAGGTAGAAAGATTGTTTTTGCTCGAGGCACTCCTAGTATGCGATGTGCGCCACTGCCAACGCCTGCTCAACCAAGCATTCAGCTGCATCTACGCATGCAGGCAGCCGGAACTCGGAGGGACCCAAGACTTCCCAAGACACCTATCCCGAACCCCTTGAGCGTGTCAAACCTTTCCCTGCAGTATCCTTACGACATCGGCAAGCGTGGCACCAACCATGTCCAAAGGCTCGGCTGTGCTGTCTGTGCTCCTAGGACATGGTTGCCCTTCGTCGTTTTTGTTGCCTCATGTCAGCCTTGCTTTGGTAGACTGGCATGGATGCATGCGCTGCCAATGCCAATGCAGGGGCATCGTCTACTGAGCAGGCTTTTCAAGCATCGGACGCTCATGGGCAGGCAGCATCATCCCCACCCCTTGAAGTACACAGCCGCCGGATTTCCAGGGCAGAAGGCAACACTTGGAAGATTCAAAAGTATTGGTTCGAGCATTCCTGCAGCGTCTTGGTGCAGAGGAAGCGAGGAAGAAAAACACGGTCGAGATCGGCTGCTTTTCTGTCGGTACTGCTGTTGTGCCCATGACCAAAGAAAATCCTGCTGCTGGCGTTGCGGAAGTAGCAGGAGATGAGACTTCCTACATGCTCCTTCGCCGTGTACGCTCGGCTCGTGGAAAGTTCAATCGAACCATTTCTGTACGGCTTGCCACATTCCCTCAGTGGGTTCTTACATGTGTCGCCTTTCGCTCAAGAGGGTTCTGCCACAGCTGGGGTCGAAAGGCTGCCAAAGCTACCTCAGGATTGCAGCCTCGCAGCATCAATATCCTGCTCATCGACACACCTAGCGGCTAGCGATTGCCATGATGGGCTCGCGCCGGCCGTCGGCTTGCCGAGTGACCACCGCTCGGCCTTTCGCTGTCCATTTCAGCACGCGGGCACAACCGCAAGGAAAGCCCCACGTAGTTTGATATAGTATGCAGCATCTCCAGCAGCATTTGTCAGCCAGACTCGTCGCATCATGCTCGCAGGTACATGCGGCACTGCTCGCAGCCCAAGTGATGTTCGGAGGCAGCTTGAAGCTCCACCCCTCTCCCTGCCTGGAGCTCGAAGCCGTGCCTGGAATTGACGGCCTCGGCACAGAAAGATGGACACCTGTCTGCTTGGTCCAAAGCACCCCAAACCCACACTAGCCTGGTCACCTGGCACGTGGGCACGATCCCGAAGCCGAGAGCTCTTGGAATCGCAGTTTCGGATCCTGCCTGGGAGGCGGCTCCGTGGTTGGAAAGCTGGGTGTGGCAAGCTTCAACCCTTTACTTTTCGCTTTGCCGGGCTCTTAGAGGTCGAGCTTCTCTTGGTAAGCCCCGAATTTTCAAGGTCGCAGGCCTTATCGTAGCGATGTGTCCAAGGATCCGGGAGGCAGTCGCCGGACCCCTACTGCTGGCCATGGTGGCGTGGCCATGCCTGGCCCAAAAGAGTCTCGAAGGTTAAGGGATGCTCGGGGTGTGACTTCATGTTTTCCTTTGTGAAAAGTCCATCCGTCATATCGTTCAAGCCTCCAGCAATCATGCACAACATTTGAGTCCTTCGTGGGGGTGTCCAGATCAAAGCTTTCTGGAGGAGGGACATGCATCGCCGGGTTTTGCCGTTGTGGAAACGTAGTGCAAGAGTACAAGCACAAGCTCTAAAAACCAAAGTCTCCCTGCATGTTCTTGCGGGAAGCACTTTCGGAAGAAAGAACCTCACATCTGATTGCTGATGTTGCCAAGGCTTTGTGCCTGGATGGGGCATTGGTACCTCTTCGCAGCGACATGGTGCTCTTCACAGGGCGGCCCGACCGCAACCTGGAAGGAGGCTTCTGTCGGCGAACTGCCAAATTCGACGATGCAAATCTCGACACTGCGCAGCACAACCGCAGACGGCTCAGTACAAAAATCGAAGCAAGTCCCCATATCTGCCACATTGAGGCATGCTGTGTTTGTGTTTTCGTATTTGTTGGACATAAAGTCACCCGGGATGTGAACCTGCCTCGTTTTGTTGACGTGCTCAGTGTCTTGCAGGCCGAGCAAGGTATGCGGTAGTTAGATCCGAGTTAATTAAACTCTACAAGCAGAAAAGTATCAAGCGCCGCTCCACGCAATGTCCTTGTCACCTGCCTGCCGAAGTCCCGTTGCACGCAAAGTGATGCGTTTGTAGGATGGGGATCTGCATCTTCACGAACCAAGCCTTCTTCATCATCGGTGCCTTGTCCTGCTTTATGCCCGAGACTTTACTTGAACGGGTCCGGGAGATGGAACACCCTGTGCTACAGCTGCTACAGCATGTTCACAGGAGAAAGTGCAAGTGCCTGCGTCAAAGCACCCGAGATCAGATGCAGCGTGATGGCTCCTTTCAAGCCGTGAGCCTGAGCACAGGTACGGAATCTGTCAACTTGTAGACCAGAGCCAAGTAAGCGGAGCCTCAAAGCCTGGCTTGAACTTCTCACGGGTTTCGGTCGTGCCATTAGGCCATCCTGACCGAAGAAATCTGAGAGAAGCCCATTTTCCCAGGCGACAAGCTGGCCGGCCCCGTCATCAGCAGTGCCTGGTGTCCAACTTAGACGTGATTCGACATGATCTGTTTTCGGCGGCAGACCAAGCAAGCGTGTGCTCAAGAGTCCAACAAGAGATCAGCACGGGGCCTTGCATTGGAAGCAGCCTCTTGTGTCATTACATGCCAAGCCCGTAGAATGCAGAACAAGGCAGGCGTTCGATGTTCGCAAGCCGATGCGATCCGCTAGGGTTTTAATGCTTGCTAGGACTGCTTTCGCAATACGAGCCAAAGGTGCAAATTCAAACCTGAGGCAGTGCAGTCAGCCCATTTTCACGTTGTCGATCAGCCTGGTGCTGGGCTGGGAGGGTGCTTCGCTGCTCTGCTGAAATCTGCTGACAGTCACAAAGTATCGTCTGTTACACCATGGGTCATTGTACAGAAGCGTAGTCGTGTCATTCGTCATTGGTTGCATTTACTTCAATATGCCATGAGAGCCTCTGATACACCACCACATGTCAATGTAAGATATCATGATGCACCGTCTTTCCAACACCAGACGGATTTGTTTGGTTCTATGTATGCGGCTTATGCAGGACCCGAGCTATCACACTACCCCGGGTTTTCTCGAAGCGCGGTTGGGTTCAGGCTGAGATGCCTCCTCCAGAAGGTTCCTGTCAAATCCACCCCCATCCATCGAGGCTTTTGAAAACGCTTGGCATCGCTGTCTCCTTTCTAGGAGGTACGGATCCCAAACGGGATGGTTGTGGTGAAAGCTTGGAATTCCGTCTGCCGTTGGAGGGCGGGCTTTCGATCAAGGGCACATCGTCGTTGCAGTCTGTAGATGTTGATCTGTGAAGCAAGACAGCCATGTCGTTGTGAAAGAACCCATTGTCCGCGCAAACGCGCATTGCGCGAGTTTCACATTCAATCTGACTCCTCACTTGCTCCTCCCAGACACCTGTGCAGTGGGGGTCTACACCCGGAGTCCCATGAGAGGAGCGTTCATGATCTGTTACGGTCAGCCTCTTCATAGCCCTGGCTTTGCCGGCAACATCTTGTGTCTTGGACCGCATGATGGCTCTGATGAAGAGGCCTTCGTGCCCACGACGCATCCCCTGCGGATCCAGTGGTCCAGCTCCTGATACCTTCCCTTGAAGGCTTCTGCTGAACTGCCTCGGCACGTCGCTCTACGTCGGGCACACAGCCACCTCGGAGATGTGCTGCTCGTTTGCAGTTCCCGAGCCAGGTCATCCTCGGAAAGTTCGCCATGGACAGGTGCTTGGTCGGAACGTGCGTTCAAGCAAAGACAGGCCAAACACTGCCTCGCAGAGGTATCCATCGCTGTCGATAACAGCGTGGTTCGGGCCCGAGATTGCATGGTTGTCAGAAGCACGGCACAGCTTAAAGTCCCTCGTTGCCCACTGGCCTTCTGCTAGCAGCACAATTTAAGAAAGCTTGTCGTTCTTCGCTGCGTCTAGCGAACCTTGAGACACACACGCGCACGCGCACGCGCACGCACCCACGCACGCCACGCACGCCACGCACGCCGCGCACGCCACGCACGCCACGCACGCCACGCACACACACACAGATATATAT